GCTGCCATGTAAATTGGCTGCCAGCAGGGCAAGCGGATCCCACTTGTTCCTCCCCAGCTGCACGTTCCTGCCGCTTTGCTTGTGTCACATCTAGTGGCTGTAGAGCTGCAGGAGGAAATAGGTGAGTTGGTCTGGTAGAAAACTGTGCTGCCAAAAAAGTGACTCACCATCCACTGACATGGCCAGTTTCACCATGACAGCATGTGGCAGAACCATTGGGTGGCAGCTCGCAGGACGTCACCACAGTAAAGCAATTAGGATGAGCAGCAAACTTAGCTAATGAGTAGAAGACTAATGCCTTTTTAATTAGCAGGTGTGAAGGTACAAGAAGAAGGCTGAGAGGCTGAGGGAGCTGGGCCTGGAGAAGAAAAGGCTGAGAGGGGACCTGAGCAGTGTCTAGAAGTACCTCAAGGGAGGCCGTGAGGAGGATGGGGCGGCCTCTTTGCACTGGTGGCCACCGACACAACTAGAGGAAACGGCCCCAAACGGAAGCACCAAAAGTTCCACAGGAACTTCAGGAAAAATCCCTTCCCAGTGAGGGTGCCAGAGCCCTGGAACAGGCTGCCCAGAGAGGTTGTGGAGTCTCCTTCTCTGGAGATCTTCAAACCCGCTTGGCCGCAGCCCTGTGCCACGTGCTCTAGGTGACCCTGCGTGTGCAGGGGGCTGCACTGGATGATCCCTAGAGGTCCCTTCCAACCTCAACCATTCCATGATTCTATGACGGTGCAGCCAGGCCAGGCTCACAGCTAGCCCTCCAAAGTGGGTCACAGCCCCGGGCCCTCACAGCGAGCGTCACCCCTGGGCACCGCTGGCCCCATGAGGAGCATCTGAAGGGGCTGCGGCTGCCCTGAGCGGGGCAAGAGCCATGGTTCAGCCTGGGATGTTTTCCTGGTGAGTGGGGGAGCTGTGGGGTTGCCCCAGCATTCGTGGGTCTCAACCAGCAGTTGATGGGTGTCTAGAGAGTTTCCTCAGCCCCATCTGAAGGATGATCTTTGAGCTCGTGTGTCCCCTGTGTGTGTGCCAAGGCAGAGGAAGAACCATGGTTGACACTAGCCCTGCCCCAGTGATGCGAGATGGATCTCAGCTAAAGAACTTAGGAGTTCTTCCAAGAACCTGTTGGCACCATAACAGGCACCATAATCTCATTACGTGTTCAGAGACTTATTTGGAAACCATCAGTTACAGCCCTAGTGAGATGGGTTAATCTGTTCTCTCTTCTGGCAGGGATCTCCTGAGGGCTTCTTTAATGGCTCTGTCAGGTGCTTCTGCATTCCTACATGGAGCAATTAATTACTCATGCCATGAAATATGTCCATTGATTGAGTGAGCTCTTCCACAAGATACGGTGGAAGAACATAAACCAGAACACAAACAGTTCATGAAAGAGTTTTCTTTCTGCTTTAGTTTGGCATCTGGTAGATGTCAGAGGTTCCTTTGCTGGCCTCCGTGTGTCCCAGCCCCATAATTCCCAGGCGGCTGCTGGTGGGACATTATCCAGCTGCTCTTCCCTAGGGTGGAATTTGCAGCTGCTGCCCATTTGTATTGCGAGAGCCTGGCTTTGGGGGTGCCTTTAATCAGCTTGTGTCTCAGCTGGGCCGTGGAGGCTCCAGAGGGTGAGGAGGTCTCCTTGGAAATCAGGAGAGCTTCAGAATCAGCTATGGGTGGCCTGTGTTTGAGGAAAGGAGCTGCATGGACCAGCAGATTTCTCCTCTAGGTTGGTGGTTAGCAAGGCGGAAACAAGCCGCAGGGCTGGCCTGGCACCTCCCAAACGCTCCGGAGGCTCCGCTCCTCCCTTGGCAGCCTGCTCCCTTCTCCCCACTCCGGGCTCTGGTATATAGGGCCCCCCGAGAGCAGCCTCTGCACAGCGCACCCCACTCCAGCAAGGCAGAGATCCAGCACCGCGACAGAGCGAGCTTGGCACCTCCAGCATGGGTAAGAAACGCTCCACACCTTCCCTTGGCCTCCGCACTCGGAGCCGGGTGGCCTTGGCTTGTGCCTCCGTGCTACACCTTGCTGCAGCCCCCATCTTGGGCTGGAGACAACACGAGACCTTTAAACTCGGTGCTCCGTGAGGTCTGTCCCTCCTGGTCCATGGGGAGGGGATCATGGAGCAGCTCAGAAGATGCAGATGGAACTGAGCAGTTTTTTCCTGTGAGCCTGGTCCTGGTTGCTCTTTAAGGAGGATTCCTGTCTTTTGTCACTACAAGTGGATGTCACAGAAAGCCCCTTTGGGAGCCAGGATAGGAGAAAATCAAAGCCAGAGCGGTCGAAACCAGCATCCTTAAACAGGTGGAAATCTCATCTCCTCTTCTTCTCCACGCAGACCGCTGCAGAGCGCAGTGCCAGACGCCCACGAGGTGCCCGGCGGTCACGAGAGGCAAGTCCCCTCGCGAGCGTTTGGAACAGGGGGCGTTTGGGAAGGAGCGGCAGTTTGTGTGAGGAGAACCAGAGTCTTTCCGAAATGCCCACTAATAACTGCATGTGCTGCATGCACATATTCCCTCACCCCAGAGGAAGGGAATTCTAACTATACAGTGATGTACTTTTTTTTTTCCCCTGTTTTTCTCATCCATGGCTCGAAAATGAAATCTAAGTTGGGCAGTTGCCCGTGATCGAGCGGGGATTTCCCTGCATTCAGAGAAATAACCTCAGCGCCAGCCTTGAGAGTCTCTCAAGCTTTTCGTTCCCATTCAGGCTGTTCTGTGGCAGGTCTTAATGCAGATTTTCTTTGTGCCAAGGTCCCAGTGAGGAGGTTGCCTACGTGGCCTGCACCTACAGGGAAACAGGCATCGAGCAGCCGGACTTCCTGGCCACCATCGATCTCAGCCCCGGATCTTGCAGCTATGGCCAGGTACCTCTGACCCAAGCTCTGGTTCTCCTGGGTTGACCCAGGCTCTGAGCCCCATTCCATTTCCATAATAACCAGCGTTTTTTCCCATTTTTTACAAGAAAAAGCAGAGTTATTTTTGACCGGTTTGCCATGCCAGCTGTGTGCCTACTTGTCTTTCTGTGTCCTTCTGTCTCATCCACCCTGACTGGAGCATTGTCCCCTTCCTTCTGTCAAGCCGTTGATGTCCTCCTTGGCTGGCCCCATGTGGGCTAAGCCACCACAGGTCTCCTGCTTCTGCTCTGTTGTGGAAGTGCACCAGGTCACCAGGCTTGGCAGGAATCTCATTTCTTGATCCTTCGCTGTGTTCCTTTTGTGCTTGGCTCCAGTTGAATCATCTCCATCTCTGCTTTAATGAGCATGTCAGCTGTGACCTCCCAATCCACTTCCAAAGGATATTGTACTAGTGAGCGTTAGAGCCCATGCACTGAACCCCACTGAACCCCCGTGGAAGATGGTCTCTAGGGATACATGGGTTCAGAGCAACCAGCATTTTTTGCAAAGTTGAGCATGTTTCTATTCCGGAATTTTAGTGGAGTACCATCCTAAATGGAATATAGCAGCGAACACTTCTAAGCACTGCAAAACCAGGCTAGGCGCATTTGACGCTCATTAATCCAAGAGCTTCCAAGCAAATGCACTTAATAGCCCCATAGGTTTCTGAAAGTGTTTAACATATTTTAAACTTCAGTCTTAGAAGGAGCTCGTGGACCAGTACACCCAGTTTGACAGGATTATCCCTATGTGTAATTCTATGAATTGTAATGGCAAGGGATGAGTAAGTCTTGAAACAGTGTCAGAATTCGGATTACTTCAGGCACAAACAGTGCTCTGTCGAAGAACAGGGGGAGGAAGAAGGGCAGTGTAATCCTCACTGACCGTCTGGAGGCAGGGCCAGCTACAGTCAGATGGACACTGCAAAACAGTGTCTGACCACATTAGGCCCTTTTCTCCCTGCTATCCTAAGTAAACTTTATTTCTGCCTTTGACTCTAGGTGATCCACCATCTCCCCATGCCCAACCTCAAGGATGAGCTGCATAGCTCCGGGTGGAGCGCTGGAAACGTCTGCTTTGAGGACTGCACAAGGGGAAGGAGGAAGCTCGTTCTTCCCTCTCTGATTTCTTCCCGTGTTTACGTGGTGGATGTGGGGACACAGTGCCGTGCTCCCAGACTGTGCAAGGTATACCTGAGGGGGCTCCACGGCAAGGTTTGGGAAGGAGTTGCCAACTGGTGCTTCTGGAATAAGATACGGGAAGAAAGGTTCTCTTCACCTTCTCTTCCAGACAGGTTTTAAGACCTGGGTTCCTTCAGGTCCTCGCTGAGGAGCAGGGTCTGTCAGGTGTGAGTTGCTGGGCAGAAAGCTCTTCCTGCAAGTGTCTGGAATCTGTAGGAATCTCAGATGGCCAAAGGCTCTGCCACAAAGTGTGAAATGAGCTGAGCCTTCATAGGATCATAGAATGCTGAAGGTTGGAAGGGAGCTCTAGGGATCATCCAGTGCAGCCCCCTGCACACGCAGGGTCACTCCCTTGAGGTACTTCTAGACACTGCTCAGGTCCCCTCTCAGCCTTCTCTTCTCCAGCTGAACAGGCCCAGCTCCCTCAGCCTCTCCTCACAGGGCAGATGTTCCAGGCCCCTCCTCATCCTCGGAGCCCTGCGCTGGCCTCTCTCCAGCAGCTCCACATCCCTCTTGTCCTGTGGAGCCCAGAACTGGACACAATCCTGCAGATGTAGCCTCAGCAGGGCTGAGCAGAGGGGCAGGATCCCCTCCCTGGACCTGCTGCAGACGCTCTCCTTAACGCACCCCAATGGCATTAAGCGCGTGCAACCTTTATTTAAGTTGTGTGTAACCCTTCTATTCAGATGATTGAGCCAGTGGATATCTTCTGGAAGTGTGACAAGGGACACCTGAATGTACCTCACGCCCTGCCTAATGGTGATGTTCTGATTGCCAACATGGGAGATCCAGCTGGCAATGGAAAAGGTAATCTCTCCTGTAATCACCCCAAGAATGTGATATTTATTAGAAAATTAACAACCCTAAAAATGCCAGAGTTTCAAAACTTCAGATGGAAAACACAGAAGAGCTGCTAAGAAGTCCCGGACATTCTGTGCTGATATAAAAACAAAATCCTTGTATTTAGCCCATATGGAAGGCTGTAATAAATATTGCTTTGCCTGAAGAATTCACTTGGTACCTTTGCACCTGAATATCTCAGGGGAGGAAATCTTTGGAAGACGGTGCTTGACCCTTCAATGAAGCTTGCCAGAAAGCGGGATAGCAGTCTGGATGCGGAGTGTGTGATCTGTTGTGCTCTTCTGTCTCTGCTACAGGTGGTTTTATTGTCCTGGATGGAGAGAGCTTTGAGCTTAAAGGGAACTGGGAGAAGAGCTGTGAAGTCCCTGCAACTGGACATGACTTCTGGTTCCAGCCACGCCATAATGTTCTGGTCAGCTCTGCCGGATTAGTCCTCAAACGGGCAGGACCTGCATTTAATCCAGATGATCTCCATAAAGGTGAGGGAATAGAGGTGCAAATGGTCTTGGGAGAATGACTTTGGAAAGGGATAAGTGCTGGAGAAAGGGGACAGGCCAGTTTCTCCAAAAAATAACAGTCCCCAGGACAAGCAGCACCTCTCTGACCTGCTTCTCCCTTTGACCTGAACGCAGGGGTATTCGGGCGCCACCTGAACGTGTGGGACTTGTCCTGCCGAACCCTCATCCAGAGCTTCGACCTGGGGGAGGATTCTCTGCCCTTCAGTGTTCGATTCCTGCACAACCCTGATGCCGCCGAGGGCTACGTCAGCTGTGCCCTGAGTGGAGTTATCTATCGCTTCTTCAAGAACGAGGCACGTGTCGTCCCAGCAAGTAACGCCAGAGCCGACCACCACGAGCTCCAGGGTGATGCAGAAACCCTGGAGAGAAACTCAGGGTTGTGGCCTCCTGCTGTGTGTATGCTCAGAAAGAAGCCAGGCCCTTCCCATGGCAGCCAGACTTCTCCATTAGCTCGGGAGGGCATCGGATGAGGTTCTTGACTGACCACCTTGGAGTTGATTTGGAGTAGTGAATCTCAGTCTTCCCCCGAGGGCCCCTTCCCACTGCAGATTTGCCTGCTCTGGGTGTGTGTTTGCAGCAAGGGCTTTGCACTGACCTGCTATGAATTGCTCACACTTTGGTGTTCCCCTTTCTTGTGCAGAGAGGCTGCTGGGCAGTGGAGGAGGTGATTAGGATCCCACCAAAGAAGGTGAGAGGATGGATTCTCCCGGAGATGCCAGGTTAGTGTGAGCTAATTCTCGGCAAATATACATTCTTTTTCTTTTGTTTTGTGAACATCTGCCCTATGAGGAGAGGCTGAGGGAGCTGGGCCTGTTCAGCTGGAGAAGAGAAGGCGGAGAGGGGACCGGAGCAGGGTCTAGAAGTACCTCAAGGGAGGCCGTGAGGAGGATGGGGCGGCCTCTTTGCACTGGTGGCCACCGACACCACTAGAGGAAACGGCCCCAAACGGAAGCACCAAAAGTTCCACAGGAACTTCAGGAAAAATCCCTTCCCAGTGAGGGTGCCAGAGCCCTGGAACAGGCTGCCCAGAGAGGTTGTGGAGTCTCCTTCTCTGGAGATCTTCAAACCCGCTTGGCCGCAGCCCTGTGCCACGTGCTCTAGGTGACCCTGCGTGTGCAGGGGGTTGGACTGGATGATCTCTAGAGGTCCCTTCCAACCTTCAGCATTCCACGATCCTATGATTCTATGACTGCCTGCACACAGGATAGCAGGGAGAGGTGTGAGCTGGGCCTTCACACAACACGTGTTTTCTGCTCGTGCTGCCTTATCCCTAATGCTCTTTGCTTCTCCGTCCTAGCTTTCCCAGCCCACATCATCATCTCGAGGGATGACCGGTTCCTGTATGTCAGCAACTGGCTGCATGGGGACATTCGCCAGTACGACATCTCCTGCACCTCCAAGCCCAGGCTGGTGGGACAGGTGAGCCAGCACCGGAGAGGCTCCCACTCTTGGGCTCTTTAGCAGCATCCAGCGGTGGTCAGCAGACAAGGCCTCATGTCCTGCTGTCCCTTGTTCCAGGTGTTTGTGGGGGGCAGTATCCTCCGAGGTGGGCCTGTAACAGTGTGCAGAGATGAAGAGCTGAAGTGTCAGCCCGAGCCCTTGGTGATCAAGGTGAGTTAAGCAGAGAAGTTCAGCTCAAGGAGAGCCCTGCTCCAGTGCCCCTGTGAGGAGGAGAGCCGGCTCTTCTGCTCTGCTTCTCTGCTCCTGCTTTGGCTGCTCTGCTCAAGGAATGAAGCCAGTAGAGTCACTGCTCTCTGTTGTGCCTTCAGGGCAGGACTGTGCACGGCGGTCCTTACAAAATGCAGCTGAGCCTGGATGGCAGGAGGCTCTACGTCACCAACTCCTTCTGCAGCTCATGGGACAAGCAGCTCTACCCGGATTTGATCAGGTAAGGAATCTTCGGGAGGTTCCTCTGCTTGTGGAGGTGCCTCATCCAGGAGCACAGGAACAGGAGCATGGTTTCCTTGTCCATAATATCTGCTCTCTCATTCCTTCACAGGGAAGGCTCTGTCATGCTGCTCATTGATGTGGACATGGAGGCTGGTGGCCTGTGTGTGAACAAGAACTTCCTGGTGGATTTTGGAAAGGAGCCCTGTGGACCTGCCCTTGCTCGTGACATCCACTTCCCTTGTGGCGATTGCACCACCACTGACTCAGCCTAGGCCCCATGTGCAAGACTCCCCTCTTCTCTTTC